GTTTGCATGTTTCACACGGATTACATAATCTGAGAATATTTGTCTTCCATTTTAATTGGTTCATTTGAAAGTAGACATTTCACTCTCTATAGATATATTTTTAAAGTCTGTAAGGCAAAGATGTACACGGAGTTTCGCGCTCACAGCCCGAGACGGTCCTGCAGTGAGCTACTGTTCAGCTTCCACTCTCCGCACAGACACTTGTACAGCGCACATTTCTCTAGGTTAACATCAGATTGAGCGGCCATGTAAAGTTGCTAATACTTACATATTTCAGATGTACTGTATCACCAAAGACTAGCCGTTAACGATCTGTTAGTCACGGACTGCGTGACTTCGCCTGTGGATTTTTTTCTGCGACTAATACAATTTTGGTCGACTAACGATTAGTTGACTATTAGGGGGCAGCCCTAGTGTATATATACAGTATATAGTAACAGTTTATTCTCTGTGACAGGAAAACATATGTATAAAAGGCAGAGGACCTATTACTGAGCCTGGTGGCACTCCATGCTTGTGTTTGACGAGATGTCTCCACATTTACACAATGGAAAGTGGTAGCAGTCAGATATATGAAACATAAACCATGCTTATACTTGTCCACAAATGCCAAAATAATTCTCAAGCTAGAATGTCATGATCTATATTGTCAGAAGATCTAATAGGACCCAAGGAAATGTATAAAGTCATGATTATATGCCAAAAACTGGTCATTTGTAACTTTAATAAACACAGTTTCTGAACAATGATGGGGCATAAATCCTGACTTAAATTGTTCACAAATACAATATCTCTGAACATAGCGGAGAGGACAATATTTTCTATAATATATTACACTTAAATGGCAAATTAGAGATATGTATATAATTAACCAGTTCTCCTGAGTCAAGCATTTTCATAAGGGGTTTGAGAACTGCCAGCTTGAAAAATATTTGGGACATTTCCTAAAGGAAGCAAAAAGTTAACCGTATTGAGAAGATTACAGGCAACACCTATTTCTGTAGTTTAGTGGATATCTAGCATACATGTTGTTGGTTTTTATGCTATACATGTCTAAACGTATTGATGTTTGTTGCTCCGTGCCATTCAGATGGCACATTAACTTGTATTGGTCTCTCTTTGCTTTAGATCTGATACCACTGAAAGAGAAGAGTCGACAACTGAATGAAATGGAAGATAATTATAAGAAACATCACAATTTCACTGGAGAAAATTTGTTTAATTGCTCAAAGACTAAAAAGACTTATTCACGAAAAAGAGCTCAAAAGACAGGAGCTGGAAGTCATTTCACCTGCCAACAATGTGGAAAGAGTTTCACTACAAAAGGAAACCTTGACGCCCATATGAGAATTCACACTGGAGAAAAGCCTTACACCTGCCAACAATGTGGTAAGAGTTTCACTACAAAAGGAAACTTTGACGCCCATATGCGAATTCACACTGGAGAAAAGCCTTACACCTGCCAACAATGTGGAAAGAGTTTCACTACAAAAGGAAACCTTGACATCCATATGAGAATTCACACTGGCGAAAAGCCTTACACCTGCCAACAATGTGGAAAGAACTTCGCTACAAAAGGAAGCCTTGACGCCCATATGCGAATTCACACTGGAGAAAAGCCTTACACCTGCCAACAATGTGGAAAGAATTTCGCTACAAAAGGAAGCATTGACGCCCATATGCGAATTCACACTGGAGAAAAGCCTTTCACCTGCAAACAGTGTGGAAAGAGTTTCACTAAAAAAGGAAACCTTGACCCCCATATGAAAATTTACACTGGAAAGAAGCCTTAACACATTGGTCTCACACTCAATTCCTGGAGGGCCACAGTGCTGCACAGTTTAGCTCCAACCCTAATCAAAAACACCTGATCCAGCTAATCAAGCTCTTCAGGATTACTAGAAACTTCCAAGCAGGTGTGAGTTGGAGGGTGCTTTCACACCTGCCTCATTTAGTTCGGTTGAATCGCACTAGAGTTCGTTATCCCCTTTGGTGCGGTTCGTTTGGGCAGGTGTGAATGCAGCAATCGCACTCGGGTGCGCAGCAAAAGTGGACCAAACAAGCGTACCGAGACCTCCTTGAAGAGGTGGTCTCGGTACGCTTTCAAACGAACTCTGGAGCGGTTCGTTTGTGGTGAGAACGTGATCCGACCTCGAACAGACCCAACTGCAAAAAGTACTGATCATTTTTGGACTAAACCAGCTGCCGTAGTCAGCTGCGCTGTGCATTATGGGACGAGGAAGTGTTTGTTGACAGTTTGCACTTTAGCATGGCAGCTCGCGGACAAACTTGGAGTTGTGAGGAGGTGCGGAGCCTCATAGAAATTTGGTCTGATGACCATATTGGGTCCCAACTTTCGAAAACTCACAAGAACAGCGCGATCTTCTCATTGTTTAGCAAACAGCTCAGGGACAGGGGGTTTGATAGATCTGTGGAACAGTGAATCACTGTGAATTAACAGTGAACCGGGTTAAGGCAAAGAAGCTCTGTCAGCAGTACATCCAGGTGCGGGATGCACTTAATAAAACAGACAGCTTGGGTAAGGAGAAAGATAAGTTCTCCTGGTATGACGACCTCAATAATATACTTGGGACAAAACCAGACGTTGATC